TTTGATTAATCACAACCTAGAGATCTCTTTGATCAACCGCATTGTCCTCAATTTATGCCAGACAAACTGAAATACAAACAGTGACAAGTGAGGAATCAGATTTTAGTGGTTGGAATGAATGTGACAACAATAAAAAAGATCGTTGATTGCCGTGGATGTCGAACAGATGCAGATTTATGGAATCATTTTATAGTTTATAACACACATTCCTGGCTTCGGTTAGATAGATTTTCACACAATACTTGTACATGTTGTATATAAAGAACAAAAAAGATCCAAAGAGAGCACAAGGCTAGCACAAGGAGCATTCACATTTTCTGTTCCGCTAATAAAAGTCTTTGGAAAATAAAGTCCAGTGCGGACACGGAAGACCAGCTGATTTTTAGTTCCCAAGCTGTAGGGCTGTGATACATGTACATGTATGTGCCAGTGAGCAATACAATAAGCAATGCCTACAAGCTCATTCCAAAACCGCAAACTTGACGGCGGTGATAGGAAAAGAAAACCTTGTGACAGGTGGGTTAATGGCTGTATGCTGAAGTATCATGTCACATCTTATCATGTCACACCTTAAGAGACAATACAAACACGATGCTGAGTGACTGAAACCACAAAGTATGCAGTCACTGCTGTGGTGTAATTGTCTGCTTTCATCTTCAGATGGTTGTGGGAATATTCTGAACAAATTAGCCAGAATACCGCGGTATTGAAATTCAATACCGAATTAGTCGGTATTCCAGTATTCGTGGATTGTTAGTCGGTACTGTTCAGTATTAAAAAAGGACCGCGGTATTCGGTAATACTGAAATACCACCTAAGCCAAAAAGACACCAAACATGTTCTGATGATTTGCAGAAGTATGGACAAAAGGAATACACGTTCTGATTTTATAATAATCTGTTGTAACCACTCAGCTTACCTTTTAGCACGTTACTAAAAACAAATGGTGTGTGGCACAATGAAGAACTCTAATTTATATATCAATGTAACAAAATGTATTTGACAAAAGTGCAGTTCAACCCACACAACATACAATCTTCACATTGTGCACGCACATAGGAAAAAAAATGATTAAATGGGGACAAAAACTACCAAAAATTACCACAAAAAAATGATAAAGTCCTGCCTTAATCAATATAATAATATCAACAGTCAACTTTTCTTAAGAATTATTAACAATTCATACCACTATGCTATTCAGGTAATCATGACGGCAAACTGGCCAACAATGTTCATGTACTGCATGATAAGCGTGCATGATACATCCAGAAGGGCGGGCAATAAACCTCATGCTGCGGCAAGAATTTTGAGGAAACATGTTTGCTTCAAGTAAGAGCAATACTTCCCCAAAATAAATTCAGGAACACAGAAAATGAAAATAAAAAAGAGATCAAGTTCTGTGAATTGACTTGCAGAAATATTCTTGCAACATTGATTTTTTGTTACATGCAGCAGTAGAGCTGCATGCATGTATGGTGTAGTCTAACGATGCTACTCAGCTTTGATGCACAGACTGGGTTGCCCTATTTCTTTCACACCTTCTTTGGCAATAGCAAGGCATGGCAGGAACCAGTGCGGCAGACAAATGTAAACCAGCCTGCGAATGATGGGCAAAGTTGAGCCTGGTTGAACTTTGTCGACTGTCCGAGTGGGGTAGCCAAGGTATCCCCATACAAGCACGCACGCTGGCATGACTGGCCTGCAACAGTGTCCCTCTCACTTAGTTCCACAAATTTTTAGCCTATTTTCTACTCAATGCTTAAATATTACAACTCAGTGATCAACTAAATAGCTGACTGTCAATGAAATGGATGAAACTGGAGTAGAGGTTTGGCATCATGAAGCAGTAGAGTCAATCTAAAGGCACATTTTCTGCAAAAAGTCACAGAGTTTCAGACACTATTTTGTTTCAATTTTTAGGTGGAATGACGAACGAACTATTAACGCGGAGGGACAGTTGATCGGTCGAATGGTAAGATGGAAAAACGACGTTCAATGCGATATGTGCAACTTCATGGTCGGGCCTGGTATAACGGGATTCCCTTATCAGTGTGATGTATTGGAGAATAGCTTTTGTTGTTAACTATCGATATGTTTTGTTCTATGTTCCATTAATTAAATAGGGCTTGAATGTGCAGGTAATTAACCATTTGTATCATACAATGGCGTAAGTGGTATTCATTGTAGTAGTTGGGTGAATATCCGTCGTGGTAATAAATTTGTTGTGTGAGATTTTGTCCGTGTGTTCATTGTGTGTGACCAGTGAACGACTCTTGCTTGTCTGTTGAATGTTTACGCCAGCATTTCATGTCCGGTTTGACCACTTTGAATTTCCTAAAAAAACAATGTTCACTGAAGCATGGAGGAAGGAAGGGACTAGGTTTAGTGCCTTCGTCTTTCGTGAAGGAGTTTACACGTGATTCGAATGGTTTTCATTGCATGTGAGTTTCTAGTTAAGAATGAACTTTGCTCAACTCGTACCTAAATGTACCCGTGCAAATAAATTTGTGACCCAGTGGTCTCGTCCCCAGCTACAGATAACTAATTTAGCATGTTTGTACGCAAATGTCACGGCTTTAAGTTTCGTGAATGACTCTGCGTACCATTATAATAGTTGATTCAGATTGTGATTACTTTTATATTATTCTTTCACAGATACTGGGGTGGATATTTCTACAAGAGATATGATGTACCATCAACTCGGAAAATTGTGGAGAAGCTCACATAGATCTTTTTGCTGTGTCAGTTGTTGGCAATTAAATTTTGCCATAAGTACATGAACATGTAGTACCATTTGATTTTTTTATTTCAAGGGCAAAAATACATGTATACAGTTTATTTCCTTCTCAATTGTTATTGGACTTGGAGTAACTCGTGTTATTATTAATTCTAAAATGTATGAATTGAAAAAAGGAAACTATCAAGTAAATGAAAACAACCGTTAAAGACTGAAGCTACATTGTAATTTGTCAAATTTCCACTTGCAAAATTGCGTCGCCGAAGTGGCGTTGTGTCGTCCTCGAAATGTTTGCCCCGTCTGTCATGTACTTAAAAAACATGGGGTCATAAGTTGAAGGGAGGTCTGTAGTTTAGATAGTATTTTTAAATTTTTCTTCCAGTGCACCTCGGCCACACAAATTATAGCTGCTGACAGAGTAAAGGTTTGGACTTTGTTCTCAAGAGCATTTCTACCTCATAGTAGTCGTAGCCATGTCGTCTACATGAATTTCAACATGAATAATCAATTTTTACACATCGAAATATTGGAAAATGATAGAAATCATGTATATGCACAGCACTGTCGCGAAACCCTAAATATACATTTTTCACCCCAAAAGGAGAACCGTTCAATCTTTTTATTTCAAACTTAACGCATGATGTTGGAGTCTGATTTCGGGTTATTCCTAAAAATTTCAATACGAATGATCAATTTTTACACATCCAAATATAGGAAAATGACAGAAAACCATGTAACTGCACAGCACTATGGTGAAACCCAAAATACACATTTTCACCCTAAAAATTGAACCATTACCCAAAACTTGAAGCTCGATGTCGGAGACTGATTTGAGGTTATTCTTGAAAATTTCAACACAAATGATCAATTTTTTCACATCCAATATAGGAAAATTGTAGAAAATCATGTAATTGCAAAACACTACATGAAGCCTGAGACGGAGACGAAGTTGAGTATATCGCGCAGTATCTTACGATCGACTAGTCTGTACGCACAGCATGAGTTTACATTTAGGTTCAGGTACATACATCAGGTCGACTGGTTTGTGGTCGCACACAGCTTACTGGGGAGCTGAGTGAAATGTTTCGCGCGTGCAAAGATTCCGGTGCAATCAATCGGGTTCAATCGAACGCTGGGCCGGGATGTTCAGTTGAACATTAATATTATTAAAGGTTGTAACAGGCATAGGAATCTTTCCGGTTAGACCGGAATTGCGATTTTTCACATTCCAATTTGTGGTCTTCGAGTTCAGTGTAAAAATGGAATAAAATTTGGGAGGTAAGTTTTGGTGGGGTAAATGTTATTTGACCACGCGGAGCTCAAAATTTCCCTAAAACTTAGTGAAAGTTGTACGTTAAAATAATTCTATTTACACGACACTTTGGGACCCTTCAAAATGTACGAGGAACTAATTTCGTGGATTCCCACTAAACGAGAATTCTCTTTGCGTAACCAAAGGTGGGAACCAGTGAAGAGTGCTGTCGCCACAGCCACTTCATGTGAATATGTCCGGTTTCCACAAAAATCTGACTCTCGTAAAAAACAGAATCTTACCTGTTATTGGTTAATTCCTCTCACATGACTGGCCTTTCTCCTAATTATCATACATGCGCATGACTCCGATTGGGTCCGTATTTCATGGGCCGTGTCAGAAACAGGCTTCCAGAGCTACTGCTAGGTCTATTGTCTACGCGTCTCTCCGCATTTCTAATGGAGCGAAGACCTGGACTTAGCTCTAGACCAGAGATTCGGATGCATCCTTAGAGACTTATTCTTTGCAGCGCTGCGAGGCTCGAAGCCGTATGGCCGATTTAAGTGGCTTTTTGGAAATAGGTACATGTACAGTGTATACCTTACGTGTACATGTACAGTACATGGTCAAAGTGAGTGCTGTACATCTACGTACATGTATGTGTACATACTGTACAAATTCAGTCAGGGGACAAAATCAAAATCATGGCAGAAATTGTCTTACTGTGACAAATTATTACTGGCTGATACGGAAGATGAGCATGTGGTGGGCGACTGCTTTCGTAAGCTTTACGACCCTGGAGAAGCATGGTGTGAATAGTGTTGTGATGGTATCAAGTATGGTACTTCCGGGGCGAAAGCTTTGATACAGCATGCATCTAAATACCAAAAGCACCTCAAACACTTCCGTAAAAGGACAAATCAGAGTAATGTAATTTTTAAAAAAAATTGGAAATGTCTTTAAAATTGAGAAGAATTTGCTTCAATAAATCTTTCCAAGGAACCTTTCCAATCACTACTCGCAAATTTCACTTTTTGTTCCTGTCTCGGCGTAGCCATGTTTTCCACGTCGATCGACAACCCATTCGTCTGATAAAATCAGCTTTGTTCAGGGCTCAATGGGCAAGCCGAAATCCCTGAGGTTTCTCAAACAAAATTTGTCTTCAGTCCTTAATTTTTCTCTTTCTTTCCTATTTTCTGTTGGTTAGCAAATTAGCAAAAAACAAAATCACCCCTCCCCGAAAAATATTTCCGAAATGTGCACGCAGCCATTTTTCAGATGGCACCCTTCTACCTCGTTACCAAAGTTGGGGTACAGATATTCATTAGATCTATCAGATTAGAGCTGGAAGTAGTAATAAGCAAAGAGGTCACTGTGTTTGATGAACATCAAATAAATTTCACAGAATTTTAAAACTCACTTTCTTAAATGATACACGTGAACCTTTTCTTTCATTCAGTCAATGAACTTTTATTTGCACAATACTGTGATCTTTTTGCTCTTTATGTTTCGTTCAGTTGAATATTACAGTAGATTAGGAAAAAAAGATTACACCAAGTTGTGGGCATTGTACAGCCTAGTTATAAATTATGAAACCATAAACATTACACGAACTGTTTAACAACGATTGAGGCATCTGCAACCCTCGTCGATAGCCTTGACGCATTCCCGGCGCCAGTACATTTCAAACTGGCCCAGGCCAAGAGCAGTCTTCTCCCTGACAATGGCCTTGATGGCATTGAGGCGGATGATACCAAGCTTCTCCTTCCCCGCACCCCCTTACAATTACTCATCTTCATCTCCCTCTTGGAAAATAATACACAGACCAAAAAAAGTGCAAAATTTGCCTCAGATGAGGAACCATTCTTTAGGTCCATGATTATTTCCGAAAAGAGGGATTCGATTTTCATTGCAGGGGATGAAGGTCAGGAGAAGCAGAGGAGGCCAGGGCAGCAGATGGTCTGGTGATGGTCGATGGTGACGGGGGATGTGCAGGGACAGCAGACGAAGGCATAGATGATGAGTCAGTGACGAACTTGTGTTTCCACAAGTCATCAATCTGACTCGCCATCTTGCGTAACATCTGCAAATCCTGCAAGTGGGATTGTCACCATTTTTGCTGGGGCGCTGGTGAGCTTGGGTGACCATGACTCCTGTATTTTGAAGAACAATGGAAAAGACAGTTGCACTGTATTACATGTATAATCTTGGCTCTTTTATGTTGGTATATGACCTAGTTTTATTTCATATAGTGGTATCATTGGACAATTTAGATTGCACGTAAAAGCCTAAAAATAAGCTCACTTTTCAGAAATGCACAAGTTAAAATCAAACAAGTTGCAGTTTTTCTCACCAGGTGAGCTTCAACATTTGCTCGGTGTAATCTTTGTAAGAAAATGCGAGAGCTTAGGCTGTTTTTTTTCCAACGTTCAAAGTTTTGAATTGAAAGTCAGGGAGAGGGAGACAAGTGGTAAATTGCCTGTCACATCCTCATGTATGCGTTGCAGAATTCATCTGGAAGGAGTTCTTGTACTTACTTTAGCTGGGCTTTGCTCAGATGTCACCTCATCCGAAAGGAAGCTCAGCTCTGGGAAGAATGCCTGGCTGGGGCTTCCCTGTTGGCTGGTCGGAGAGTTTGGGTCATCTAAGCTCTGTAGAAAAAGTAAGAAACATCATTTTTTTAAAATTACATTTCCATTATTAAAATGACATTGACATTCATTAGAAATGTTTAACATTATATCTCTCCTTGCTCACAGAGAAAAACAGCAACATAACAATTCTCAAGAATGTACACATGTGGGTGAAGTTAGCATTTGTCAACTTCTTGATGTACACCTTGACAGGGCTTACCATGGGAGATTGAGCCTGTTGGAGGGTTTGTTCCCCCTGATCACCTAAGCTCTGCAGAAAAGAGTGAGAAATATCATTCATTAAACAAGTTACATTTCCATAAATTTGGAGAGGGCTTAATTATGATGCAATTGCCATTCATGATGAATATGTGTAACATTACATCTCTTTATATTCACAGAGTTAACTTTTTGGTGTATACCTGGACAGGGCTTCCCGTGTGAAGTAGAGACGGTTCCCTGGTTGGAGATGGAGGTGTGGGGGATGGAGCCTGAACTTGCTGCCCTTGATCTACAGTCTTCAGAAAAATAGGTGAGAGAAAATTTACTTTTCAAATCAACCAGAAGTATATTTAATAAAAAATAAAGCTATTTAAAATGCACACCACAGTTTAATGTGGTATCATATGGAAGAGAATACGAAGACTTCACAAATGGTGTACGGATGAGATTGGATTTTCGGCACAAACTTTTTTCGGCTAACTTCACCAGTAGGCCCCACTTGACACCATTCTTGGCACATTGTTTTGACATTCTATATTAGAGTGTCCTGGTTACTTCGTGTTGAAGTCCCTAGTGAGATTTTTTATGGTTCCAATCTGGAAAACCTATTCTGCTAAATGTGAATGAAGCATCACAAAGAGTTGTCCAATAATGCTCAAAATGTAACAAAACTAACCGTGGTATTAAGAACATTTAGGAAAGCATAGCAAAAAAGTATTGACTGTAGGTTTTGTCGAAGATTGGGATTTATACGCAGCTTATGCACGTGCACCTTTGCAAGAAGCATAACACCTTAGTCAATGAGAAAAATACCAAAAATGCACTATAACACTGGGTACGTTGAAAACTGTTTAGTGAAGTAAGTTTGCTTGGACGGTGGCTAAGGCATCAAGAAGATGATCTTTTCTTTTCACTTGTCTTTAAACAATGGCTAGGTCTATTCGCAGGGAAGCAGTCTGCAGTGTTAAACTTTATGATCATTAATCTCTGCAGCTTTGAGCACATGTAGTTTTTAATATTGTCTACATTGGATAATTCCTCAACTTACCAACTCATGTTCTGCAATCACCATGCCGTCGTCATCAACACAGAAACGGGCCAGCACTGTTGCTCTTTTCTTCTCCTTTATTTTGATGGAAGGGACAAAAACAAAAAAATTATTACCAGTCTCTCCTTTTTAAAAGACGAAATACCCTCCTCTTTTCAACATGTATTTAAAATTGTGCTGTTGAAAAGAGCAGCTACATGTATAGTTTGTACGGAAGGTACAATGAATAGTACGTTTATGTGATAACTTTTAGGCTATATGATAGCGTTTAAGTGATCACGTTAATATAATTATTTCCATGACGGCGCCCTGGGTGTACGCTGTATTAGGCTGTTTATCAAAATAAAGGAATATTAAGTTTCATAGGAACACGAAAAGTTGTCGACACTCACCTTAACTGGCTTTTTCTGTGCTGTCTGTGCCTGTTACAAAATATATAATGAAGAATCAAACCTGTTGATCACTCGTGAATGTAGTGAAATGCCGTGCTCAGCGAAAATGGAATTTTATGATCCAAAAATTAAATATTTGTGTAAACTCTCCACATTGCGACACTCTAATTCATGTATTCAACTTTGCGTACCTTTGCCTTGGAAACTCTGCCATTCCTTGCCATCTGGGAGTCTTTCGGGAGTCTTTTGGCCATTCCAGTATACTTCAGTGACCCACATTTCTCTGCTGTCGCTTTATCCTGATGTAGAAGAGTGGTTGTCGTTATCATAAGGCGTGTACTTGAACCTTTTTTTGCCATTGTCCACTAATTACAATTCCGTTGGAATACATTTTGCCCAAATAAACGGCAGATCTCATACACGTGCACACTCACCTTGCCCACTTTATCTTGTTTCCGTGACAAAGCTCTTTGTAGAAAGAGAAGGTCCGAGTGATTGTCTGTATGGAAAAATCAAGTTAAAGTACATGTACTGAAAACATTTGTCTTTTTCTAATGAAAAGAAGAGAGGCGAAAATTACAATTCGAGTCGACTGGGTCAGGACGTCCAAAAACCAACGAGGTCCCGGGCCAATTCTGTCTCTTTAAAGGAAAAATTTGAGCTTTAAACATGTTTTGCATGATAAGTTATATCGGTAAAGTAATTGCATGGAAATGCCTTTATAATTTGCCAACATTTACTTGACGCTGTTACTGCAAAATGCGCCTCGTATGCAATTGCATAAACCCCATTATACATCGTATTTTCGTAGTACATGTACAATGATCCAATATCTTGTTTTCCGCTCACTATGCCTCTCTGGGATTCCAATCGCCTTCAGACAGCAGATTTACCTTATCACTTTAAAAAATGTGTTTTCTGTGTAGGCTTACGGATCTTGTTTACTTGCTGACTTACATGTATCTTACCCGATACCGTAATTTTCTTGCAATGAGACTTTTTCCAACCTCCCAATTAAATCACTAAAAATGTGTCCGTTTTGTTTCTATCAAATTATGATATGTGTAATTTAGAGGAAAGATGCTCACTTACCCGATACTCAGAGAACTTCGCATGGAAGAAATTCTCCCTCCCAAAGCACTTCAACTTTTTGTGCCGCTTCTAAACCCGATTTTACGTCCTTCACAAGTTTACTTGGCACAATGCTCGTTGATTTATCTTCGAAAGCAACTAGTGCTTCGCAAGGGATTTTGCACAAGTTCCTGAGTGACATTGTTTCTTGTTTACTAGTTTCTCCGTGCAGTGCGACGCAACTTTGTCGTGTGAGAGACGGATCGCTGAATTATTATCGGTATGATGCGGGTGTCACGTGATAAACTCCTTCTTGAGTGGAACGCAAAGTCTTTGTTGGCAGTCACTTACGAAAGGCCTTTTGCCCAGGTGTCACGAGAAACCACATTTTTTTCCCCAAAAAGCTACCATCCCAACAAGGGAACTGACTTGTGCAATAGCAAAGGATTTCGATGCGGATGCGGTCACTTTGGTCACGGTCTTGGTCATGGAGGAATTCATGATGCAGTGTTTGATTTACCGAAGCTTATGTGCTGACCCAAACATTTTTTCTTAATTTTGTTGAAGGGTGTACCCCAAATCCTAAATAATCTGCATTAGAAAGACACTGTTTGCTGAATATTGAATTGCATGATTTATGATCTCACATTTAGATATTATTTCTATCCGTGTCTTATATTAGTTGATCGTGATCGTGTGGCTTTTCTACACTGTTCCTAATCTGGTCTTCTCCGAGTCATTTGTTGCAATTCCCATTGTCTGTATCTTTATCGGGAAAGCATTTGCTAGAAGTGTATACATGTATATACTTATGTTTTTGCATTATATAACATAGGTTCAGCATTTTGCTGAGGTCACACAACCTATTAGATCACGTTTTCTTGCGCCATTTATAAAGACACCACAAAAGTATTTGAGCCAAATTAGTGTAAAGCCGATAATATTTTTAAGGCAGCCTACTGGTGTTGATTAATTTAATTAAAGGTAACCTTTCAGAAGCCTGTTTTATATTTTACCTGTTTTCATTCATGACAGTCAGTTAAAGAAATGAAAACAGTACAGTGTATATGTAATTCCACACAACTTCCATTTAGATAATACTCAATACAGGCATATTCTTTGCAGAGTAACTCCAGCAGTCCCCGCTATAGTTGATCTCATCCCAAGAACTTTCTTCTTGACAGGAAACAAAATGTCTGGCAGTCAATGTCACAAGGCTCTCTAGTAGACATTCTTCACCCACGTCCTTCTTTAAACAACACAAAAAGATTCTGACCTGAAAAGGATTATTCCAGTCAGGGACTTGTTGGTCGGTATTGGTAAATAGACGGAGGATTAAAAGTAACAAAGCGCAAGGAGCTTTTGTTGGTTAAGAAGTGAGGAACTCCGCTCCAGCACACGCTTGCCGGAGTCGGTAAAGTAACGAAACTTAAAGTTTGCAGACGCGACATAAGCTACCCCGACTTCTTCCTTCAGTGGGAATTTGGATTCTTGGTTTTAATGGTAATAAATTTTAATGGATAATGTTGCCAACACACATCTGATGCCAGCATTGCCAGCTTAATCAAGTGCTACCTGTAGCTTGGAGGAATCCAAGAGAAAATGATGAAGCTTCATGCGGTGGGCAAAACTTTCCTCTAAATCTAGGCAAGTTGTTAAAGAAGCTTGAGTAGATGGTTGAGCAATAATCACTAAGACCTTTCTTATCCAGACAAAACTAAAAGCATAGTACCCTTTGTTTTCTTTCTGAGGCAGAATATATCTTAATAAACATCCCAATTCTTGTAATATCGCCGGAGTCATGATTAAAATCAATCTGAGTGGAGAGGTTTGGGTCTGCAAGCACAGATGTGTACAAAGAAATCTGGACTCGCTATGCCCTAAATTAGCATATAGAGATCATTGAATCCACTAGCGGCCATTTTACTGAGCCGAATACAAAGCTTTCCTTGTAATGCCCACCTTTGTTCGGTTGTTGAAACCGAACATCCGCACTTTACGTTCCAATTTGTTTTTTACAACCCCCCCGTCCACAACATGTACCTGTTTTCAAAACATCTTTATGTTGATTTTTTTTTCTTTCAGCCTTTCGTCTCTCCTTTCCATATTCCGAATGTACCATTTTTTGAGGCAGATCTTGTGCCTTTCAATTCTGACATTCATTTTTAACGAAGCATTTTGTCAGTTCCTTCACGTTAAGTTCCTCACTGCCCTGTTTTTCTGTTTGCGAATAAGCATGATGCCCTCATTTTCTCCAATTTAACATTGGTTTTTCAGTATTATAAAATGTAATATGCAGATGATTTTGACTGCATGTTGTAAGTTTCCGTCTGGAGATGTTACTTGTCTATTAATCATGTAGTGGATTTTGTTTAATAAGCGTAAGATACATGTATGTCCAAGTTCTCATTATCACTCTGTCTTCTTCCCCCAGTCCCTTGAGTTAACCTTACTCAGTATGCCCCAAAATTTGTTTTCCAGCATTGAAATTGAATTTATGACATTAATTTCAATCGTTTTATTTTATTTAACTCGTATTGTGAGAAGGAACGTGTTTGGTACCTTTTGTTCAAGTCAACCTGCAGCTGCGACAATAAAAACAAAAACACAGACAAACAATTCTTCTTATTTGGTAACAGTGCAGAGCAACGGGAATTATCTCTTTTTCGAAGATGTGGTGGCCCTGAGAAGGGCCTTTTGGGTTATAATGAATCTTACCTAGAAGCCTGTTGCCCGTCCGTTGCTTTGAATCACAGCCGGAATAACCTTTTGTAGGTGGTTGATGTATCGCGAGCATGACTCTACGGTCACTCTGGTGCGCCAGAAGAGGTGGATACCATGGATAAGTTCGTTTTTGCCAGTGGGCTTTACCTGGCGTCTTAAAAAATGCTTGAGTTCATGCCACAATCACTCAATCAGATTTAGGTCAAGGGACTCGGCGGGGAATGGGAACCAATTTATTCTGACCTCTTTCATGAACTCCCGCGTTTCCCTAGCTGTGTGCTTCAGGTCGTTATCTTAATGAAAGCGATGACCATCAGGAAATTGCTTGTGGATGAACGGAAACAACGTTTCTTGCAAAATCTCTTCCAAGTAGAATTGTCCATCCATGATGTCTTCGAAGACGAGTATGGGGCTTTTCCCCCGCTTGGATATTCCAGCCCACACGTGGACTTTGATGGGGTGCTTGGCCTTTGGCTTGAGTTTCTTTGGTTGCCCTTTCTTTCGGAATGTCAACCGGCTGTGTCGATCCAGCTGCACGGAGCACTCGTCGCTGAAAATTACATTGTCGAACATGTCTTGGCGATGTAATGCCTGCTTGTTGGTGTCCCTTATTAATTGGCAGTAGGCGGGCCCACTTGCCACCAAGCCCAGCTTTCAACGTACGCGTCGGATGGTGGACTCTGACACGTCGAGTCCAAATATACTTTTTAATATACCGCATACATCTCGCGACGTGAGCTCATCGTCATTCTCGTACAAGTCGTGTATGAGAGTTGCAGGGAACTTCCGTGGACGTCCGGATCCAGCCCTGTTTGCGAAAGAGCCTGTTTCTCTTACTTTCTTGAGGAACAACCGAACAGTGTCAAATAGGGTTGTTTTTAAAAGTGTCACCTTTCTTCTGTCTGGTTTCAGATTACTGCTTTGTGACTGAGAAGGCGCTATTGATTGAAAAGTCTCAAGTCTCGCTTGAACGGACGAGGTGCTGATGCGGAAATGGTACAAAGCAACTGAAGTCTTCATACAAGTTCACATAGAATGGCAAGGATGTCCACTGATTAAAGGAACTCTTCCATCGGGCAAAATCAACGTATTGCGTAGAGCAAGAACACAGCAAGTCTGTGACTTCACCTCAAGCCGTTTCCCGACCCCATGCAGACGAAAACGACCATTGTGTTGTCCGTAATAAATGGGCCAATAAAATACCAACTTATAATTTCCCTTTGGGTGAAGGAAATGTGTAGATTATAACAACGCCACCCTTTCACAAGATGTTACTTTTTTAATAAGCGAAGAAGAGAGCGTTTTCTTGATGTAGTTACGTAAACTTTGGATGACCTGTGAAAGAACAATTTAATTCTTGTACATGTAGTCTTGCTTATCCAATGAAGGGGGGAATTACAGAAAAGTCTTCGCTTTTAAAGGCATCTTCAGACACTTCATTAAAGTGAACTCAAAGAAAACCGAGATTTCACTCTAGTTTTGTTAAATTCCCAACAACCAAACTGCTCATTGGTAGTAAATTCACACCATTTAAGTGCTGCAACTTGCTCTCTGGATGACAGAACAATGCACATACAGGTACAGCAATGCCCAAGATAGGTATAGAATAATTTACTGTTTGTCTGATCGGTCAATCCTATTCAGAACTTGAAGCAAACAGAGGCGCATGGATTTACAAATCAGTAAAATGTGTCCGAACTCCTTTTTAAATTATTAGTGAACATGTTTCCACAGCTCTTGTCAACAGAACAAAGAAACAGAGGGAAAAAAGAACAGTAGCCAGTTATGAAGACTCCCAGATCCAAAACTTTCAAAAAAAGGAGAAAACAATCGCAGCATTTACGATTCAGTAACAATAACAACAATAATAAATTAAAAACATGCCGTATCCGCCAAAAATTGGCGCCCATGACACCAATGTGTTAGGCCTAGTCCTAGATAGTTACTGGGCCAGTGATTCGACCATTTTTTTATTCCACAAAGTTTTCCAACACGAGAAAAGATCTATGTCTCGCTAAAAGCTACAGAACGGTCCAACTGTACATAAAACGAGCAATCGGACCATTGATCAATATAAATCATGTCATTATGTGTACGTTGCTTTCCACGACCAACGTTCCTCTCTGAAATTTTCAGGATATCCCTACAGAGGTTATTGGATTTTATATTCCACTTCCACCACACTCAGAACTAGTGGGTCTTCCTGATTGTTTATGCCATCAATAGGCGCCTACTGTCCGGGCCAGACGGTGTACCGAAACACAATGTAATGGACTTGTATGCGCAACGACGTCAGTGTGGGGGCACTAATTCGCAACCGGGCCGGCAGACCGGGCTTTCCACCGAGGTCACGCGTTGCGCATGAATGATCCTAGTATGCACTCGCTGTTTATTGCACTCGATAGCGCCCGTGTACTCTTGCGAGCACTCACGAGCGCTCGTAAATGCTCGCAGGTACCCACAAGCGCTCGTTACCGGCAGCAAATTTTACGAGGAGATACGAGGGTTTAGCAGAAACTTCGAGCGAGTACGAGTGCGAGGAGTACTTCAATTTAATCATTACTGTATACATGTATGTACTGTATTTCAAAGGACAATGTGCAGGCTGCAAATGTAATTCGAATCATTGTTTCAAGCATAACTACATGAGAAAGCCCTGCACATTCTGCATCAAACAATGTGCGATTCATTTTCGATTGGTCAATATTGGTCAATACTGTGTCGCAAAATTGGATGCAATACAAGGAAAATCTAACACTGTATCCTTACCATAAGAAAGCACAACAGTGCATCATGAATTCATGTACATGTATGTTCATACAACTAACACGGTAAATCCAAAAGACACAATGTCTCTATGGGTAAAATGAGTGCAGATGACACATGAAAGGACTTTAAAATATGAAACAAAAAAGACTAACCTCCCACCGATTGAGAAGTCTGAGATTGCATAGTAGTAGGAACGCAGTACGTCTGGTACCTGGAAGACTTCATCACCAAACGTGTTTAATCTGGTCAACATGACAAGGATGTCTGTCGCTGTTACCCATTCCTAATATATCAGTACAAACATAAGACAAATGTAAGAATTACCAATGCCTTCATAGAAAGAGTCCCTACTTTAGTTTAATATTCATATGATGCACAGTGCTGCATTCTTTAAAATTCTTTTATGTTTTTTCAACATGGTTGGTAATACATCAAAACAAAGTTGTTATACACATACATGTACCAAGTATGTTCACCCAGCACTACATGTACCTGTGTATCAATTTGGTTAATACTTGGGAATGTATGGGGCAGCACATGACAGGTAGCAACAATCCGGTCCTGTCTCCTGCAATGACTTCAAATGTTTATCAAGAGAAGCAGTGGTGGAGAGCTGTAGCTAGTATTCGAGTCTTGTGCATGCCTTAGTCTCACATGGAGACGCCGCACTGTGTGTTGCCAACATAGAGTACAACACAAACCGTTGCAAATATTTCTTGTAGGTGTTTCTTGGAGACACGCCCACATATATATTGCAATGGATGTTGGTAACGATACACACATGGTAAAGCCAACAGTAGAAATGTTTTTAAAGTGATATTGAGGCATATTATGCAACATCAACATTAGAAGCCAGTATCGATCCTTGACATATCATATACTGATTTTTATCAACACCATTAAACCCTACTAAATTCTACACATTTTGAATAAACTTTTGGTTAGGCAATAAATCACTGTGGCACAATAAAATTACACAGCGAACTGGATTTTTAAGTTGGTGAATCTGGCTTTAAAAAAGCTTTTTAAGCAAATGACCATCAGGATGACCTTTAGTTCAACGCTGGCTTCATCATTATGTGTTTCACATTCTTGTGAAAACCCAGGTTGCAAGAGCACATCCATTTATTTTACAGGAAGAGATGGAATAAACGAACTTTCACTGCTCGAAAAAGGCTACTGCATATTGGATAACAAAAGATCATCAAATAACAAAATAATTCCAGAAGTCTCTTTTCAATCACAAAAGCTCGCTGGTATTCAGTGTATGACTTTGAACAAAAAACCAAGCAAAAACCAAGATGAGGAAGGAAACATACGTGGTATGTACCGTAACTATTCTCATATGCAAATTACTAGTACTAGTGATGTGACAGGAAACATACATGTAATTCAACACAGTCCTTGTGATCTGGTAATTGCAGGCGTACAGGAGGAGTTTTCTGCTTTCAACCTACCCCAAACAGTCGCTAAATATGCAGAGTAGCACCGAGCCCTTGGAGGGGGGTGCAGCAAGGACGCACTACATAATGAGAGTGCCAGAGGAACAAGAACTTGTCCAAATTTATTGCAGACTCACCAAATAATGGAGTTGTGTCGTTCCAGTGGTCGGCTGCTTTGATGAGGAACCCTTCGGCATCGATGTGGCCAATGTTAGGACCCCTTTGCCATGTGAAGAGTCCTTTTGTAGAACATCGGTGAGGTAGCATGTGGTGAAGGTAGATGGGGTATTCCAGCATGCTGCCTAACATATTTCCTCCATAGGTACGCCCCTGAAGTAGGCCTAAAATGAAGCGTTGTGTTTCATTGTCCACAGAGTTTGGCTAATCTGGGTTAGCAAACTTCATGGCTGAAACTGCCCATCTGGCTGTAGTGTCTCTGGTTACGGCTTGGTGAGGTTTTATTGTGGTGATGAAAGGCTGCAAAGTTGTACCTCTGAGTTTTTTGGTTTTGGCTAGGTACCATTTAAAAGTCCGCACTGGGCACCACGGTTTGTCATCGGGAGTCCCAGTGTGTTTGGTAATGTCTGGTACCAAAATGTCTTAGTGAGAAACCCTATCGTTGGGATGAGACGAACACCATGGGGTTCCCATCGGATGTGGCCATCTAAGATGGACAATGCCTTCAGTTCACTGCCGCGCCGTGGTGCAGAACACTTGCAGTTGGGCATTCTCTGCTGAGGCGAAAAGATCGATGTTCAGTTTCTCTATTTCGGCGAAGATCTGTTCGATTACACTCGTGTGCAATGTCCACCCCGTGGGACGTACCTTTCCCTGAGTTGTCGTCACCAGGAATATGAGTCACCTGGAGGTAGATGCCATAATCCTGGGCCAAAAGAATATCTGTCTCGTCAGGAGGCATAGGCGGGGAGAATGTGTACCTCCCTGACGGTTAATGTATGACACCACTGTGGAGTTGTCCGAGTGGACGAGGACTCGTTTGCCTGTAATGCTTGGGCGGAAAGCTTTCAGTGTATTGGATACGGCCTGAAGTTCCAGTATATTGATGTTATTCCCTTGGAGCTGGAGGTCCCATGTTCCCGATGCTTGAAGCGGTGGTAGGGAGGCTCCCAAACCCAGATGAGAAGAGTCCAATGTTATGGTTATTTCCGGGTTTACTTTGGGGAAGGCAACTCCGAGAGAAAGGTGCTCCTTCACAAACCACCACTAAACACGGAGCCAGGCACGGGCCGGAGCAGACCACTCGGTAGAAAAGACTTTCGAGAAGATTGTTGATGCATTCGGTCGTCGGTAGGATTATGCCTCGTCGAAGGTCGATAGATGCCCCTAGATATGTCGAGTATTGAGTTGGGGTGAGATTTGACTTACCATGGTTGATGATGAAGCCCGGCCGGTTTGTGATGTCACAAGTAAGGCGGGTAGACACCTCTGCTTCCTTGAATGATCTGCAGACGATTACCAGTCATCCAGGTACTGGAACAGCATGACATCCCGCTTTCGAAGGTGAGCAGCCACAATCTTTGCGACACTCGAGAACACTCTTGGTGAAGTGGAGAGGCTGAAGGAGAGCCATGAATTTGAAGAGGCCCCTGTTGTACAGGAAGCATAGGTATTTGTAGCTTTGAGGGTGAATCAGAATGTGGAGGTAGGCATCTTTCAAGTCTATGGAAGAGGCCCAGCATGGAACCTGTAGAGATTGGGTGACCATCCGAAGGGTCTCCATGCGGAATTTCTTCGGGCAGACAAAGTGGTTTAGATGTTTGAGGTTGATAATAGGTCTCCAGCTTTTGAGTTCTTTCTTTGGAGTGAGGAGGAACGTTGAGATGAAGCCTTAGTTTGCTTGAGATTTGGGAACCTGGCGGATAGCACATTTCTGAAGGACAGAGTCTATCTCAGACTCCAGTGCCTGTCGGTGCCTGTTTTTGTCGGTAGGAACTGGAGTCGGACGGAGGATAGGTACAGACAGAGGGGTGCTCGTGAATTCGAGGGCATATCCATAGTGAATGGTTGTGAGCACCCAGCTGTCCGATGTGACTTTCTCCCAAGACCAAGCGAAGAGTTGAAGTCGCCTGCCGACAGGTCTGAGATCGGCAGGCGGAGGCAAATCTGAATAGTCAACGACGCCTACCCCCTGGAGGTTGGGGGTAGTGCGGCTCGGTAGTTCTTCCTTTGAAGCCCCTCTGGGGTGGCTTGGTATGCCGAGAGAAGGATGGATGGCCACGATTCGTCTGGTGACTGGGTTGACGAAAGGGGCGAAAGGGAAATATAACTCTCCTGCCGTGGGGGTCTGAAGGGCCGAGCCCAGTATTCATCGGGACGAGATTGGCGGTGGAAGGTCATGGAAGCTAAGCTTACGTGTTGTGCCAATACGTTTAACTTCAGCCTCCATCATCTCCATGAACTTCCCCGCGAAAAGGTCTTTGCCACAAAGAGGAAGATCCTGAAGTCTGGACTTGACTTCTTCATAGGGACTGTTCATTGCATCTAAAGTGTTGGATCTACGTGCAGAAGTGGCTAGAACGGAGATCTGAACAAACTGCTTGAAGATATAGATGACGCTCTCATCGAGCGCTCGAAGTGTGACAGCTTCCAGGTCAGGGGTAACTGGTGAATCTTCATCACATGCTCGGGCCAAATACTCAGAGAGGAGTGCAGTAAAAGCAGTGCAGCGAAGGCCATGTCGTGAGGCTTTGTCGAGTTTAGCAAGAGTAGACTCGACAAAACACTTGTCCTTGTCTTTAAATGGAGACTTTCCTGTAGGTTTGTGAGCATCAGAAGGAAGTTTATCTCTAGCCTCCATTGGAATCTCGGGGACAGAGAGGAAATTATCAAAGTCCTCCCTGGCAAACTGGAAATAAGTCAAGGCCCTGGGCGGGTATGGACACCATTGTTTAGCACCGGCAAGAACTTTAAACATCTCAACCCATGAGCAGTCAAGTGGAAGTTCGGGAAAAATTGGCGTTGATGCCTCCAACCTAGCGGGATGGCGCTTGAAGGAAGCATGTGAAGAGGCCTCGGCTGTAGACTGATTGGAAGGCTGGCCTAACATGTGGATCATATCCTTCTGAAGAAAATGGAGCTGTGCCTAAGGAGGGTTAAGGTTGGCTGCAGAGGAGATATCCTCATCTTCAGAGGGCGTATTCTGCTCCATCCGCAGTCGATCTGAGGAAGGAGGAACATCATCATGTCTTGTTGGGTGGCCAGGGACCGGAGGTGAGTTGTAGTCTGCGCCAGAACCTGGATAAGTTGAAGGGGCAAAACTATCATATGAAGATCGGATCGCCGATCAACAAAGGTTTGGACGCGGATCCAGATGCGGACCCGGATGCAGATCCAGATGCGGATCTGGGTGCAGATCCGGATCACATTGCGCCTGCAAAGGGTCCGGATCTGGGGCTGTCGCCGCGGAAGCAGAGGTGGGCTCTAGACGGCCAGCTATAGAAGAGAGCTTCTCCGAGAGCATGCGGACTGTTGACATGATGTTGGCTGATGTGTCCTCCTTCAGTGAGGAGTGAGACTTCTTCCACTTAGACCCCATAGAAGAAGACGAAAAATGTTTGCGTACGTGTGAACTGGTTGTAGAGCCAGCAGCTGACGCCTGGTGAGTTGGGGCGTCGGAGGCCTGTCCAAGCTGCAGTAAAGATACAGCAGGATGGGGCTGGGGTAGAAACAGTCTTCTCAGAAAAGCCCAGGAGGAAGCCGGAAGAGTTCAAAAACCCCGACGGCGAAGGAGACAGTGGGCCGTTGTCATGGGCGTGAGTGGTGATGAGCCCACAAGGTTCGGTATTGTCTCTGCAGGTAGCGCACCTGGGGGCAGTGTTGTGTTGTCCTGTGGAGCATCAGCGTATTTGTCATGGCCGGGTGCCCCGATTGAAAGGATGTCTGAAGACAATGGCAACGGGGTGTTTTGGCCGGTGTAGCCAGTGTTGGCGATGTGGGGCCGCTCCAGAGCGTAGACTCGTTAGCCATGCTGATCTCGGGTGTTGCCCACATTAGCTTTTTGTCGACCTGCATCATCCATTCGAAATGTTTCGGGACCGGGACACAGAAGTGTTGCGCCCAGGCCCAGCAAGCGGAGGAATCTCAACCCCATGTGCAGCGCAACTCGGCACTATCATTGACTGCGATGCTTCGGTGTTACATTGGAGAACTGAGCATACGGATATCGCACCCACTGTAGCTCAGGCCCTTAAAGCGTGGCATGGGCTATCCCTGAACTTAACCAACGATGGTATTGCCAGCAGAAATTAGCTGCGGGATCACAAGTTTAGCAAGATGCCGCTCAATCCTCCGCAGACCGACTCCTGTCGGTCTATAAGGGGAATGTAGGGTTGCGAAATTCGGAATGCTCGCGAACCCCAACAAACCCAGGATCGCCCCACTGACTCTATAAATATACCAAGGAAAGAGGGGGACCGCAGTATTCGATCGTTTGCACCGCTTGGCGGAACCTCCAACAATCCCAGGGTCGCCCCGTTGACCCTATGTATCGCTTGGTAGTAACAGCGTAGAGTCAACAATCCATAAATGCACACACACAAAAAGAGAAAATTTACCACCAAAACAAGAAAATATACACATAAACTCAGAAATACAGAATGTACGTTTATTACAATACCTTACAGTTTGATCAGAATGTCACAAAGGTGTGTAGCGAAATGGAAACTCGATAAACTCGAACATGTCAAAAAGACACGTCTCTTTAGAATCACGCTAAGGAAAAGAAGGAGGAACATGGCGGCCATTTCGCTATGCTTCATGGGACATGAGGGCGCACTACGGTTGATCAGAAGATTTAGCGAATTGATTCAGATGCAAAGGAATTTGCATATTTCGCAACTGTTTGGGGTAGGTTGAAAGCAGAAGACAAATTTATTGGGAAACATCAGGACATTTACGTGTCCGCACACAAACTGTTTCTGCGATCCACGCTGGCATGATCTCTCCACGGCTTTCATGCACTACATGTAAGTGGCACATCATGATTAACCGATCTGGTCCCAGTCTCAACTTCAAAGGAATTTGTTGTTTCATTTCGAGTAGGGTGCTGGAGCTTGGATCATGAAAGCATTTTGACTTCTGGTATCGTTTTGTGCAGATGCAAGTAAAAGCCCAGATTTTTCTTTTTTTTTCCGAGAAATGCCATTGTTGTGATCGGAAAAACTTACATGACAGACATCTCCGCGAAATACTTGGGATGATCAGGGAATTCATTGGTTAAGTTTGACTGAAAAGTGGTGTGATCTAGTGGCACTGCGTGTGATGTGTACAAGCTTGTAAAGCCATGTATAGTCTGGTGTATGTAGCATTATCATGCAGCAACTCTTGCTGCAGCTCTGTGCAATAAGGGTGTGCTAAACGATTGTACACTGACAGAGCTGTCGCACTCAACTTTTTCACCAGGAGAATTAAAATTGATTCTGTCATCACTAACTGTTAGGTAGGCCTAATGTTTGATTCTTTTCACTTCATTTTTCTCAAAAATTGCAAAGTATAATTAAAAGTAAACTCATGCCGAGGAATGCAGTACAGATGGTTTCATGCGTGCAACTATTTGCTCTTCTCGGAAGCTTTTAGGCATGCGAAGGTGGGGGAGAGCAATCGCTCGCCTTGAAATGAAAGGACTGCAAAAGTCTTTTTCCTCTTCTGAACATATCTTTTGAATGCTTTTTTAAACAACCTTTAACATTTTACACATATGTAAACACATTTTTATGTTTCATTAGACTCCAGTTTTCTTAATCAATTCAGAAATATGTGTACATCATTTACTAACCTGTAGCACTTTACTGTCATCAAAGTTAAAGGCGCTTGGTCTACCCTCAAGAGTACCAAAGGCTATATTGCCACCTGTCAGTGGAGAGATATCACTGAAGTCATCTGTGCAGAGTACTCTAGTCTCATCATCAGGTGGAGCAAAGTTAGATCTTGGAACCCTGTAGGTTGTTTCGCAAGATCCACTGTAGAACTGGTACGGGATCCAAGGACCATCGTGGCTAGTGCGCTTGTAGATTGCAAAACTCTCTGGCCGTGCAGAGTAAAACTTAAGACGGATATATGTTATGGAGAACGCTTTGCCTGTGATAGACAACAGAAGGAAAAAATATTGATAAGGTACGGGTTGAGGTGGAAAATCTGTTCATGAGGAGTGTTCACTTGAGCAACATGTGCACCATATTATCCTCAATCTTTAAACGGTGTGGAGTGAGTTTCAAGCATACAGTACATACAAAGGAAGATGTACATTGTACCCATTTTTCTACAGTTTGTCAAACATATTATTGACCTCTAAACCAAACGCCTTTCCCTGACATTTCAACATCAGGGTCCAGAGTGTTGAGAAATTACATGCAAATATGCTACAAAACCAAAACCTGATTATCACACAGGGAAAATGAAACAGTGATGTAACAGCATTAAACTCCACATATTAATATTTTTTTGGTTACAGCGGTCTTACATGTAACTGTAAACATTTTTTGCATTCTAGAGAGAGTCCACAACTATCAAGCCAAGTTTGAAATACCAGTACCACATGTCTTCAATTTACATGTAAAGGCACATGTGCATGCACCTCACTAAAACAATGTCAAATCATGTGTTAACCACTTGCCTCCTGAGTTTAAGGAACCGGGCACCTTGGTTAGTATGGTTAGCCGGAGTAACCGAAATCGGACAAAAGATCTGGGCCTTGTTACAAAAGACCGTAATCGGGACAAAAGACAAAGCTGCTGGGATTTGCCAGCAGTTGGCATTAGCGCAGGTAATCCGTCATTGTTTTGGAACGTAAGAGTAGCCACCAGACAGTCATTCATGTGGGTGTAACTGCCTAATAAATGAAGTTGTGACTTTTATAAGAAGTTTGATAACAGAAAATCTTGAAAATCCCCCCGGGAACTTATCCCCGCACATGCAAATTCTAACCGGCAGGAAATGGTTAAAAGTAAATAACCTTTCACATTAGAAGCTACCGTAGTTTCTTATACATAGGTACAGGTACATGTAAATACCACAAAGAGCATGTACATATACCCTACACAAGTGTACATGTACATTTGCATTACATTCATATGTACAAGGGATTTTACCTCATACAATTTGGTGAGAAAATTGACTTGTACAATCTGCCTGTACTGAGGATCCCCATGAGAATGCTCTTTGGGGATGGTATTAACTGGTCTGTAATAAATCATCTATTTAAGAGTGTTGATATTGACTTAATAAGCTGTGGAAAAAGTAAGTTTATACTCGCACAGAAGCAACATTCAGCAGGTCGGTGTGTACAAGTACATCATGTGTACATGTACTAATGTAAGTCCCTAATGTGGCGCACTTTGACTTCCCCTGGAATGTCCTCATACAGTGTTAGCACAACAAATTCATAGGTGAAATACTGCTACTATATTAACTACATGATACAAGGTATTGAACCTTTGTCAAGAATTTCAGTGTTATGAAATTTTGTACAAAATTAAAAAATGACAGCGTCTGGAAATTGGACAGAAATTCAGCTGACAACGTAGACATTTATGGAAAATCTCATCTCTGACCCCGAGTCAGTGAATAAAACATAAAAATTCAACAGTGCGCAATCACGGCACGGCCGAATCACAGCCGAACAGACATAAATTCTTCAGTGCGCATGCTCAGTTGCTGTGGCCAATGCATCGTCCTCAGTGTGATAAGTTTTTGCAGTTTCACGTTGTTGTTTAGCTATCGCATCTGCATAGTGCGGCCGTACGTGTGCAAGAAAGGAGCATGTCATAAGGCGACACTGTGATTGGATAACAAAATGTACACTGTACGTCTGGCCAGGAGTACGTCATGCAAGCACACATTCTCAGTCGCTCCAGTTTTGCCACTCGCATTATGAATAATTCAGTGATTGGGCAGTAAGCATTTAACTCCATAATGGCTGATTTCGTATTAACGAGAGTCGAGTGTATATTATAGGCTTACACTGTGTTTTTGTTGTGTTATCGGCACTTAACAGCTAGCTTGGTAATTCAGATTAAATTCGTACTAGTGAATTCGCCCTGCGATTCATTAAAAAAGTGCATAGCAAATGGCTGAAAATGCATCACATATTGTGATGTGATACCGGGAAAATTATTCCCTGGACATGTTTTTGTAGTAAGGAGTTTGTCTCCGACTCGAGTGCCAAGTATTGGTCTTTGTTGCGTAGGACTAGAGTCGATGCAGTATAGCCTCGAGTGGAGGCGTGCTTGTGAACTCAAGGGAGCATCTGTGAGAGTGCACTGACTGGGAGCTTTTGGCAGAGAGTGCTGACTCCATTGATTCAACTGTTACAGTGATCACCGATTACATCAAGTTCTGCGTGGACCTGGTCATTCCATACATCACATAGTGCGTATGCCCTAATGATAAGCCATGGATCTCCTGTGATTTGAAATTGCTGCTGAAGAGGAAGAGGAATGCTTTTGCAGATGGGCACTCAGTGCAAGTGAAGGAAATACAAAAGGAAATAAATCATGAAATCAAACACTGCAAGCATAATTATGAGAAGCGTCTGGAACTAAACTTTCAGCAAAACAACCCCCATGCTGTGTGGCAGGCAATGCAAACAATAACTAAATGTAGACCAAGGACACAACAGGTTGAATGCAACAAAAATTTCCTGAATAAACTGAACAACTTTTACTGCAGGTTTGATGGTCATTATTTTACCCAAGAGAACACTGTTCTGCAAGAGACACTTAAGGCTGGTTTTGTTTTTGATGATGTAGTTATTTATAAACTTTATGTCAGGAATATTTGTAACAAGGTTTTAAACTCTGTAGCCATCAACTTGCAGGTATTTTCAGACAGATTTTCCTGATGTCTTTGGATGAAGGAATTATTCCTCGGGTGTGGAATACTTCAGTCATAGCTCCTGTGGCAAAAATAAATCATGTGACAGTTCTGATTGACTACCGTCCAGTTGCCCTTACCTCTTCTATCATGAAATGTCTGGAGAGACAAATTAAGAAGCACTTATTAGGTCAAGCAGGTTCATTAATGGACCAATCTCAGTTTGCACACAGGAGCAATAGGGGGTTGATGATGCTGTGGGGCATTTTCACAGTGACTCGCTTAGATTTTATTTCATTTTAAAACTTTTATAACCACACACATACTGAGCTGTAGCAGTTAAAAATTCCACTTACTTTGTGTAGGTACTTACTGACACTTGGTATAAAATAACACAAACAAAAAATCATTTTCAACAGATAACAATGCTTTTATTGCATTGTAATATAGCACGACTCGCATTACACAAAAAGGAAAGCAGTAAAATCGGCTTAGGTTTAAATCAAATTTCTCCTCAAACTATAAATTGGAGAAAAAAATGAATAGTTATCAGAAACCCACAACTCAATACCATTTCTACATCACCTAAAATGATATGCATTTCCCAACCAGTTTAGGAAAAAACATAAATAATCGATGTGACTCACGTTACCGTGACTTGCGTTACCTCAAGATTACCCTAGATTATGCACACATTAACTTGATTGTTTGTGTATACATGTAGTTACCAGTGCAACAGTGCTTTCAGGTTTGCAGTTGAGAAAACAAATAATGGTAGTGCCAAGTTAACAATCATAACATTTTCATATCATGAACGTTTTATGTGTACTTCACTTTTCACCCCTATTGATATGATTTTGTAAGAAAGTTACATGTACTTACCTTTATTTCAGATAGATGATGACAGATGCAAATCTTTTGTTTTTCTGCCCCTATGTACATATGTACATGTAAATGAGGAATGTTGCAAAATTAAGAGGAACCGGTGTATGGAATTATGAAATATTATCTGCTGTCCTCTATTTAAGATGCATTTAAGTTTATAAAACAATTGGAACCGATGAAAAGATAACAAGCACTTGCAACTACTGCAGTTTAAATTATGACTCGTGTTACCCTTCCCCTAAGTGCTGTGACTCGCGTTACATGTGACTCACGTTACCAACTTTCAGTGCCAGACATACTATCCTAGGCAGATAACCTAGGGTTGGTGTTGTTATAATTTGGTTTGTTACACACTGAAGGAGGAGGTTTATGATTGACAAACTCAACACCCCTGGGGGTTAACTATTTGTGTATTATATTATTGTTATATTACATATTGTATAAAGCCCGTAATTGACTTCCATGCCTACACATACAAAAGAAAATGTTTATGGTTTTTTTCAGCATTTATTACTCAAAGTGCATTAACAATACCGATCGGCAATACAGCATTAGACAGTTTGGGAAGGGGGAGGGTGTAGACAAAAAAATCTAGCTTTGGAATACAAAAGAAAAGTATTGAATACAGGAATCTAAAGACATTTAGACCAGACCTAAAGTGCTTGTTTTCTTGGGATGATAGGCTTACAGCCTATACTTACGATAGGAAATAGAATACATTGCACTTACATTTCTTATGAACTGACCGCTGAAACAAGTTTGGACTCCCTCAAAATTTTAAGATCAATTTTTGATTTAACCAAGTATGGATTAAGATGGGAACAATTCTTCTCTCAGAGTTAATTCAACAACAATGAAAAGCAGCAGTAAGGGGCTTTGTGAATTGTTACTTTTGTGCAAAGCCACTTGAAGACAATTCAATTGTCAAACTGTTCGCTTTAAAGCTTTAGACTGATCTCAAATTCAGACAGTACCGGTGGTGGGTACGTTTAAGCAGTTAAAAAATTAATGGTTTCTATCCAAATTCACAAGAATATTATTAGGCCTAAATGCCTACTGTCTGTACAGATATCAAGTCTCAAACTTACTCATATTTCCTCACGCGTATGCTGGCTCGGTGTCGACATAAGATAGACAAACAAATCACTCCACTTTACTTGTGGAATGACAGCCGGAGATGCATCCAGGGCCTTGGCATCAAGATAATATGGATCTTTATCCAAGCCACTGCTTTGCCAGTTTCTGTACGTACCGGGTTTTCTCGGCCCCCGGAAGATCTTCTGCATACTTTGACAACCTAATCATGGTTTAACGGTCCCTATAGCCCAACGCGAGCCAGCAACCATGGAGCTATACTGCGACAGATCGCAAGCACAGTGCAA